AAGACTCTGTCTCAAAAAACAAACAAACACACAAAAAACAAAAAAAAACAAACAACAGCAGCAGTAACAACAACAACAGAAAGAAAAAGTTAGCCAGCGGAAGCAGGAGAATCACTTGAACCTGGGAAGCAGAGGTTGCAGTAAGCTGAGATCGAGATCGCACCACTGAACTCCAGCCTGGGCAACAGAGGGAGACTCCATCTCAAAAAAAAAAAAAAGAAAGAAAGAAAAGAAAAAGTTAGCCAAGCATGGTGACAAGCACCTGTCACCCCAGCTACTCGGGAGGCAGAAGTGGGAGAATCAGCTGAGCCTGGGAAGTCGAGGCTGAAGTGAGCCGTGATAGTGCCACTGCACTCCAGCCTGGATGACACAGTAAGACCCTGTCTCAAAAAAAAGAAAGAAAGAAAATCCTACCAAATAGGTTGTTTATCCCGTAGAATTCAACTGTTATACAGATCTGCACCCTGGACTCAGTGACCAACCCCCTGTGAAACTGGATCCAGAGGAAGAAGAATGAGATTCTAGCCACTAAAGCAGAAAAATGGAGGAGTTTGTCAGGGCTCCATTCCTCACATGGGTCAGGATGGGTGCCAAGTTCGTGACCAGGTGGTATAGAGGAAGAAATATAGGGCTGTTTGTCCAGTCCATCACTTGTGTGAGGTTGAGCAAGTCATTTAAATCCTCAACCTTGAGTTTCTTCACTTGCAAACTGGGCATAAGGTAATAACGTCTGCCTTGCCAACCTCACATTGTCAATGTGAGGATTCCATGAGATATGGTCTGTAAACCTGATGTGTGGAAGGTGTTATTACTATTACGCTTTCCAAAGAAACCCCTGATCCTCAGCTGGGGCCTCTGCTTGCTCTTCCTTCTTTCCTTCAACCATTATTTCTTGTGCAGAAGACCTCTTTTCACACCACATTCTGCTCCATCTGTAAATCAATGCATTAATAGCATGCACTCCAATGGACATTCTGCTATATATAATTAGTCTTTTGTGAGTTTGCTTTTTTATGTGTAAGTCCTTTATGGTCTGACTAGTTTGGAGAGAAGTTTTAGAAGGCATTATTTGGCCTAAAAGCAGGGGGCCAGCTCTGAGATCTGGTGACCCCATATGTTATTCTAGGAGGCTCTGCTTGGTCTTTGTCATATCTGCTACCTGCAGAAATGCCTCCACTGAAGAGCCACTTATTGTCACATCAGCTCTAACTAAAGACTAATATGAAAAGTATAATTTAACAGACAGATAATATGGCTTCAAGAGCTTGGGACTTGAGAATCAGAAGCATCTGACTCAAATCCTTGCTGTGCCAATTAAAAACGGGGAGACCTGCTGAATGTTAAGCCTTATGCTCTTTGAGTATCAGTTGTTTTTTGATTTTGTTTTTGTTTTTTTGGTTTTTTTTTTCCTTTCTAAAGTTCACGGCTAAGTGCAATGGCTCACACCTGTAATCCCAGAGTTTTGGGAAGCCGAAGCAAGAGGATTGTTTGAGGCCAGGAGTTCAAGACCAGTCTAGGCAACATGGGAGACCCTGTGCTACACAAATAATTTTTAAATTAGCTGGACATCACGATGTGCACCAGTAGTCCTAGCTACATGGGAGGCTGAGGCAGGAGGATGGCTTGAGCCCTGGAGTTTGAGATTATGGTGATCCATGATCCTATCAGTGCACTCCAGCCTGCACAACAGAACAAGACTGTCTCCAAAGACAATAAAAATAAAGTGTGCAATTGTGATTGAAATTCAATTGGATAAAATATTTATCTAGAAGAGTGCTGGCGCTTTTATAGTCAGCTAGCAAAAAAGGGCAACTATCACCATCTATCACCCTGATTTTTTCTTTTTTTAGAGACGGGGTCTCGCTATGTTGCCTAGGCCGGAGTGCAGTGGATATTCAGCAGCGTGATCCCACTACTGATGAGCATGAAAGTTTTGACCTGCTCCATTTCCGTCTTGGTTTATCCTTCCTTAGGCAACCTGGTGGTCCCCAGCTCCTGGGAGGTCACCATACTGATGCCAAACTTAGTGCGGATACCCAATCAGGATAGCGCATTACAGCCCGGAACTCCTGGACTCAAGCAATCCTTCTGCCTCAGCCTCCCGAGTAGCTGGGACCACAGGCACTTGCCACCATGCCCAGCACCATGACTCATACTAACACATGACAGTGCCCTCAGCCATTGTTTATTATGGCAGTAAAGACCTATGAGACTCCACATGATAAAATGCTGTTTCAGGGAAAGAAATCTTCCCTAAAGAACTACTCAACTTATTTTTACTCACCTACGAGAAAATATTGAAACCATCTCTGCCTACAAAATACCAGAGCTCCTTAGGGAATCTCAGCTCACGTTGCTAAAAAGTGACATGAAGAATCAGCATCTGATGTCAGAGGCATTCACCAAGGTTCGCTGTTTCTCAGCTCACTACAACTCCAAGTAGGTGAGGGCCAGTGTATACAGGGATGTACCTGGAGCTTGCGCGTGGGGAGAGAAACCAACAGAACCAGTCTCAATCTTTGAGGAGCCCCCAATCTTGAGGGGGAGGAATAAAGTTCCTGTCCTCAGGGAGACCCCCATCTGATGGCAGAGACATAGTCCATGCCGCTAGGGACTCTCTAGTATGATTGGACAGACAAAAAGGACCAAAACAGGATGCTATGTCTGGCCTTTTCTGCTAAGAGGTTCAGAGCCAAATTCAACGGTCAATGCAGGAAGCACCTTATCACATCCTCTTCATATAATGATCTCTTCCCTTTCTTTGTGTGGCTTCTGATCATTATTATTTCATTTAACAGTCCTATGGAATACAAGTTCTCATGGTAATCTGTACATCATCCTCTCTTTTTTATTTTTATTTATTTATTTATTTATTTATTTATTTATTTACTTTTTTTGAGACGGAGTCTCGCTCTGTCACCCAGGCTGAAGTGCAGTGGCCCGATCTCAGCTCACTGCAAGCTCTGCCTCCCGGGTTTATGCCATTCTCCTGCCTCAGCCTCCCGAGTAGCTGGGACTACAGGCGCCCGCCACCTCGCCCGGCTAGTTTTTGTATTTTTAGTAGAGGCGGGATTTCACCATATTGGCTAGGCTGGTCTCAAACTCCTGACCTAGTGATGTGCCCGCCTCGGCCTCCCAAAGTGCTGGGATTACAGGCACGAGCCACTGCGCCTGACCTATTACCCATATTTAAAAGACTTGTTCAAAAGACAAATTCCCAGGGCCCCTTCCCAGCCCTCTTATGCCAGAATTCCCAGGAGGTTTGCCCTGAGAAACTATAGGCTTAAACAAGGGCCCTCATATGATTCCTATCATCAGGGAAATGGGGAAACATCAGGCCCAGCTCTTCTCTGAGCATGGTGACAGGACTATCAGAATCACCCAGAGGAGCTTCTTAAAATGCAGATTCCTGGGCTCTGCACCCAGGAGCTACTGAATCAGAATTTCTGGGAGGAGGCCCTGGAATATGCATTTTTACAGGCACCCAAGGTGATCTCTATGGGTTGGATGTTTCCTTGCAGGCCCTCCTGCAGTGTGAGCTACTGGTCACAAGGGGCCAGGTCAGAGTGTCTGCTCACAGTAAAGCTTTGGGTGGCAGGGTGGAGGGAGATGATTCAAATCTCTAGCCTCCTTCTTTAGACAGTCAAGCAGCACAGATCCCTTAATTCCACAGCTCTATGTTGTAGGGTTCTCCCAAGTTCTTACATATGACCTTCCCTCAGAAGCACTGAAGTTTAGACGGAGGGCATCCTACCATCTCCTGGGGCCTTTTGCACGGTGGAACCAAAGCTTCTCAAAGGCCTTTGGTTCCACATCTCAGTCTCTGCTGCCCTGTTGCTCTGTGCCCTCAGCACACTCCATTACAGGGCCAGCCTTTGGGGCAAGTGATCTAGGCCTAGACCAGGCAGCATAGCTTGAAGGGTGTGAAAATCAACCCATCATGGTTGACATGCTTCTACTTCTGGGATCTCCATATATGACTATCTCAATTTTAGCCATAAGTGGAAGACAAGGCAAAATGCCTAGTAGGGGCAGATCAGTTCTATCAGAAATATATTAATACATAGCAAGCGGGTCACTTTTTTTTTTTTTTTTTTTTTTTTTTTTTTTGGAGACAGAGCATTGCTCTGTCACCCAGGCTGGAGTGCAGTGGTGCAATCCCTGCTCACTGCAACCTTGAGCTCTGTGTTCAATGAATCCTCCTACCTTGGCTTCCCAAGCAGCTGGGACCACAGGCATGCTCCACCACACCCAGTTAATTTTTAAATTATTATTATTACTATTATTTGAGACGGAGTCACTCTGTCATCCAGGCTGGAGTGCAGTGGCGTGATCTCAGCTCACTGCAACCTCTCCCTCCTAACCCCTCCCTCCCTCTCCCTCCCTCAGGAGGCAAGCCTCAACCTCCTGAGTGGCTGGGACTACAGGCGTGTGATACCACGCCCAGCTAATTTTTTGTATTTTTGTAGAGACAGGGTTCCACTGTGTTAGCCAGAATGGTCTCAATTTCCTGACCGCATGATCCGCCCACCTCCGCCTCCCAAAGTCTGGGATTACAGGCGTAAGCCACCGCACCCAGCCTAATTTTTAAATTTTTTGTAGAGACAGGGTCTTGCTATGTTGCCCAGGCTGGTCTTGAACCCCTTGCATCAAGGGGTCTTCTCGCCTCAGCCTCTCAAGTAGCTGGGACCACAGGCATGTGCCACCACACCCAGCTAATTTTTAAATTTTTTGTAGAGATTCGGTCTCTCTTATGTTGCCCAGGCTGGTCTCAAACTCACTGGCTCAAGGGATCCTCCTGCCTTGGCCTCCCAAAGTACTGGGATTATAGGCATGAGCCATTGCGGCCAGCCAGGGTCACATTTTGACTAAGTCTTCATTGTCTACTTACCTGTATGTCTTTATCAATCCATCCATCCTCCTACCTATCCAACATTCCAGAAAAACACAGAGCATCTGCCAACGCACCAAATGCATTAAGAGAATATGTGTGGGCCTACCTAGCTCCTCTAACATCCTTTTTGGCCAGAGATCAGGCAATGGCTGTATGCTTCTTGATCCTGCATACACGGGTCCCTCATAGCATTTGTGTGGCTTCTGCAAGGCCTTGGATCCAGTCGGGCTGGAGTGGTAATCACCAGCAGGTCCCTCAGAGTAACATTATAGCTCTGAGGACCCTGCAAGAGGAGGGAGGGCATATCCAGCTGCCTCTTCTCACCAGAGCTGTCACTGCAGGAGTGGCACTCCCCAGGCAGGGAGGCGTTTTCTGGAAAGGCAAAGTCATAAGCATCAGTGATTTGTGCTGCTGGATTCAGCACAAATTCCTGGCGAAGACCACCTCCCAGTAGGGTTCCATGGCCTATAACTGGCTGAAGCTCTTTGAGCCAGAATCAGCCATTGCTCCTTTTCTCCAAATAGTTTTCCTTCCCCATTTTTTCATACTTAACATCAATAACTGGTGCAGCCTCAGCTGAATGAGCCTCATGTGAATGAGAACTAGGAAATGTTGAAGAAGGGACTTGGACAGCATTCTGTTTTTATCTTCTTTGTCTTCCCAATCAGACTAGAGGCCTCCTAATGGTATGGACTGTGTCTCCACCATCAGACTGGGGTTTCCCTGAGGACAAGGGCTGTCCCCCCTCCAAAGACTGGGAGCTCCCCACAGATTAGGACTGGTTCTATCGGTCTGTCTCCCCTTTAAGCTCCTGGCACATCCCTGAACACACTGGCACTCACGTGACAGGCTATTCATTCCCAGCTTGGGGTTGTAGTGAGCTGGGAAGAAGGAGAGCTTTCCCCTCAGTTGAAGCTTGGTCAGTAGCTCGGATAGCAAATGTGGCTTCTTCATGTCACTCTTCAGCAAATTCCAGTTTGTGTTTGGACTCCCCCAGAAGCTCTTGGATTTTGTGGGCAGAAGAGGTTTTAACATTTCCTTCTGGATTAACTGTGGAGGGGTCTGCTGCTTCTTGCATTTAAAGGATACCACCCTATCCATCTCTGGGCCACTGTACTCAGAGCTGGTGGTCACGGCCAGGGTTGGTGGAGACTTTGGGGAGATTGAGACTTGGATGGTGGATTCTGGGGCGGTTTCTACCGAGGTTAAGTGCTGGAAGAAAAGACAGTTCAAAATGAGTCTGCGGAAAGCTAAGAGTTCCTTCCTATGCTATTCTTTTTCTATTTTTATTTTTTGAGACAAGGTCTTGCTATGCTGCCCAGGCTGGTGTCGAATTGGGCTCAAGTGATCCTCCCGCCTCAGCCTCCCGAGTAGCCGGGACTACATGTGAGTGCCACCATGCCCAGCTCCCATGCTATTCTTGATTAAAATAAACAGATTAAGAGCTGATTCATTAGCAGCAAGAAAGATTAGGTTAGAATAGTCTCCTCACCATGAATTGGTTAAACAGTAGGGCAGAAGACGGTAGAAGACTCTACAGCCTCCTCTAAAAGTCTCTAAACATGAGAGAGATTATAAACAACAAAGATTGGCCATCAGAACAATAGGTATTATTATTGTTATTGTTATTGTTATTGTTATTATTTGAGACAGGGTCTCGCCCTGTCACCCTGGCTGGAGCGCAGTGATGCAATCTTGGCTCACTCTAACCTCCACCTCCTAGGCTCAAGCAATCCTCCCACCTCTGTCTCCCAAGTAGTTGGGACCACAGGCATGCACCATCACGTCCAGCTTTTGTATTTTTTGTAGAGATGGGGTTTTGCCATGTTGCTCAGGCTGGTCTCAAACTCCTGGGTTCAAGTGATCAGCCCACCTCAGCCTCCCAAAGTGCTGGGATTACAGGCATGAACCTGTAATCTCCTGCCTCCTGGAGGCAGTAGAATCACTTGAACTTGGGAAGTGGAGGTTGCAGTGAGCCAAGATCGCACCATTGCACTCCAGCCTGGGTGACAAGAGTGAAACTCTGTCTCAAAACCAAACAAAAAAAAAATCAAACAAACCACTCCTGGCCTAGGTATTATTTTACAGCCATCAAACTAGCAAAAAATAGAAAGTTAGGTAATGCCAGTGTTGTGCAGAGGAAGAGGAATCTCCTGCTGCTGAGAATTTAGGCTGCTATAGTCATTCTGAACCACCTAGAAATATTTGGCAAAGTAAAATTACAAATATTCTGTGACCTAGCAAATCTTCTGCTAGGTATATATAGTTAATAAGTTATTAGACAGCTCTTGAAAAATACATACACTGTGGCCGGTCATGGTGGCATACATCTGTAATCCCAGCACTTTGGGAGGCTGAGGCAGGCAGATTGCTTGAGTTTAGGAGTTTGAGACCAGCCTGGCAGACATGGCAAAATCCTGTCTCTACCAAAAATTAGCTGGGCATGGTGGTGTGCACCTGTGGTCCCAGCTACTTGGGAGGCTGAGGTGAGAGAACTGCTTGAGCCTGGGAGATGGAGGTTACAGTGAACCAAGATGGTGCCACTGCACTGCAACCTGAATGACAGAGTGAGACTCTGTCTCAAAAAAGAAAAAAACAGGCTGGGTGCCGTGGCTCATCCCTGTAATCCCAGCACTTTGGGAGGCTGAGGTGGGCGGATCACCTCAGGAGTTCGAGACCAGCCTGGCCAACATGGTGAAACCCCATCTCTACTAAAAATACAAAAACTAGCCAGGCGTGGTGGCGTGAGCCCGTAATCCCAGGTACTCGGGAGGCTGAGGCAGGAGAATCACTTGAACCTGGGAGGCGGAGGTTGCAGTGAGCCAAGATCGCGCCACTGCACTCCAGCCTGGGGGAAAAGAGCAAGATTTCATCTCAGGGAAAAAAAAAAAGAAAAAAGAAAAAAATACACCAGTGTTTACAGCAGCATTATTCACGATAGCTAAAAAGTAGAAAACTCAAATGTTCACAATGGATGAAGGGATAAACAAAATGGTATAAACCCTAAATATATATAATGGAATATTATTCAGTCTTCAAAAGGAAGGAAATTCTGACACATGCTGTAACATGACTGAACCTTGAAAACCTTATGCTAAGTGAAATAAGCCAGACGCAAAAGTACAAATACTATATGTTCCACTTATATGAGGTCCCTAGAGTAGTCAAATTCCTAGAGACAGAAAGGAGAACAGGGGTTTCCAGGGGCTGAGGGGAGGGGAGAATGAAGAGTAGTGTTTAATGGGTACAGATTTTCTGTTTAGGGTGATGGAAAAATTCTGGAAGTAGATAGCGATGATCACTGCACAAATGTGTGTCTGTCCTTAATGACACTGAATTATACACTTAAAAATAATTAAAATGGTAAGTTTTATGTGATATATATTTTATCATAATAAAAAAACATATAGATGGATGTTCACTGCAGCATTATTTATAGTGAGGGAGAAGCAAAGGCAACCTGTATGTCCCTACCTTGGAGAACTGATAGGGTGAAACGGGCAGTTGAAACCTAGTCTTAAGGCCAGGCAAGGTGGCTCACACCTGTAATCCCAGCCCTTTGGGAGGTTGAGGTGGGTGGATCAGCTGAGATCAGGAATTCGAGACCAGCCTGGCCAACATGGTGAAACGCCATCTCTACTAAAAATACAAAAATTAGCCAGGTGTGCTGGTAGATGCCTGTAATGCCAGCTACTCAGGAGGCTGAGGCAGGAAAATCACTTGAACTTGGGAGGTGGAGGTTGCAGTGAGCTGAGATCACACCACTGCACTCCAGCCTGGGTGACAAGGGTAAAACTCTGTCTCAAAAACAAACAAAAAAAACAACCAACCAACCAAACAAACAAAAGCTAGTGTTGGGGAACAAAAGAAACTGCACTTGATGAGATCTGCGGCTTTGCAGCTTTTTGTCCAAGGACACCCACAATCCACATGGCGTGGGCAGCAGAAAGCCACAGCCTTACTGGTTAGAGGTAAAGTTTGAGGCAGTCAGAGAAGCCAGAGATGCAGAGTGTAAATTGTGAAAATGTGAAATCCTTTTATGTGCAGTTTGGCGTGACTGATAAACTACACATGCTGGGGGGTGTGGAATGGGGAGGAAAGGATCTCAGGGGACCCAATAAAAAAAAAGCACTAGAGGCTGAAATAACTAATAAGATTTCGATTGCTGCTGACCACAGTAGATTTAGAATGTGAAGTTAATGGATTGTTCAAATAGAAATCACTCTTTAGGCTGGGCAAGGTGGTTCATGCCTGTAATCCCAAGTATTCGGGAGGCAGAGGTGGAAGGATCACTTGAGGCCAAGAGTTTGAGACCAGCCTGAGCAACACAGCAAGATCCTCATCTCTAAAATAATTGTTTAAAAATTAGCCAAGCGTGGTGGTGCACACCTGTAGTCCTAGCTACTTGGGAGGCTAAGGCAGGAGGATCACTTGAGCCTGAGAGTTTGAGGTCATAGTGAACTATGATCACACCACTTCACTCCAGCTTGGGTGACAGAGCAAGATGACCTTGACTAAAATATATATATTTATCTAGATAGATAGATAGATAGATAGATAATGCTCTTTAGAAGAACAAACAGAATCCAGAGATTCTACAATGAATCACTGCATCATGCATAATTCGTGATGTCCAGCATCCAAACTTAAAACCACTAGATATAGCCAGGTGTGGTGGCTCACACCTGTAATCCCAGAACTCTGGGAGGACAAGGCAGGAGGATCACTTGAGGTCAGGTGTTTGAGACCAGCCTAGCCAACATGGTGAAATCCCGTCTCTACCAGAAATACAAAAATTAGGCGGGCATGGTGATAGGCACTTGCAATTCCACTTACTTGGGAGGCTGAGGCAGAAGAATCACTTGAACTCGGGTGGCAGAGGTTGTGGTGAGCTGACATTGCACCACTCTACTCCAGCAGCCCGGGTAACAAAGCAAGATTCTATCTGAAAACAAAACAAAAAAAAAAACCCCACTAGATGTGCAAAAAAAAAAACCAGAAAAATATAATCCACATTCAAGAGAAAAAAGTAGTCTACTCTAAGACCAGCTGGCTGCAATGGCTCACACCTATAATCCCAGCACTTTGGGAAGCCAAGGCGGGTGGATTGCTTGAGGCCAGGAGTTCTAGACCAGCCTGGGTAACATAGCAAGACCCTATTGCTTCAAAAATTAAAATAGTAAATAAATAAAAATAAAGAAATAAAATACTATGAGATGACCCAAATGTTGGTTCATTAGCAGACAAGAACTTTAGCAGGCATTATAAATATGGCCAAAGAATTAAAAGAATATGGCCGGGTGCAGTGGCTCACACCTGTAATCCCAACACTTTGGGAGGCCAAGGTGGCTGGATCATGAGGTCAAGAGATCGAGACCATCCTGGCCGACATCCTGGTGAAACCCCGTCTCCACTAAAAATACAAAAATTAGCTGGGTGTGGTGGTACGTGCCTGTAGTCCCAGCTACTCAGGAGGCTGAGGCAGAAGAATCACTTGAACCTGGGAGGCAGAGGTTGCAGTGAGCCAACACGGCACCACTGCACTCCAGCCTGGCGGCAGAGTGAGACTCCCCCCCAAAAAAAAAAAAAAAAAAATTAAAAGAATGTATGCATACAAAATTCAAAAGTTGGGAATCTAAGCAGAAAAACACAAACTATAAAAAAGAACACTAGCCTGGGCAACATGTACAAAAACTACAAAGATTAGCCAAGCATGGTGACATGCACCTGTGTCCCACCTACTTGGGAGGCTGAAGCCAGAGGATTGCTTGAGCCCAGAAAGTTGAGGCTGCAGTAAGCTGTAATTGTGTCACTGCACTCCAACCTGGGTGATAGAGTGAGACCCTGTCTCAAAAAAATAAATAAATAAAAAGAACTTAGTATTTCTATAGGGCTTAAAGGTATAATAATTGAAATTAAAAATTCACTGAATGGGCTTAATGGCAGACAAAAGAGTCAGCGAGTTTGACTATAGAGCAATAGAAATTATTCAGTGTGAAAACAAAAGAGAAACAAGATTTTAAAAAGTAAGTAGAACCTAAGAAGTCTGTGAGACAATATTCTGTAACTTAACATACATGTTATTGAAGAGTCCAGAAGAGAAGAGAAACAAGACAGCAAAAGATTTTGAATAATGGCAATAAATTTCTCAAATTTGGTGAAAGCCATCAACTTACAAAAACAAGATCAAGAACCCTAAGTAAGATAAATAC